CAAGGTTCGCGTCAACGGCACTGCGTGTCACATTATCAAATTTCTGTGAGTGCTAATCGCTAAGCCGCTGACGCTGCACGTATCTGGCATCACTCCTCCAGATTACCAGCTCCTAATCGCCCACACAGAGCTGCCTTGTCCGTTCCCCCTGGTTAAAGTACTCCGTGTAAAGTCCTAAAAGAAAGGCACATACCTTTGTGTCCAGGTGCACGTAGGTGACAGGCTATCGGCATGGCGCTAATTTGCGCTAAGCTATTCGCAGAAGCTAAATTCTGCACCGACACTGAGAAACATGACCAGTTGGCCCATAAAACTATCCTCAGTGCCGAGATTGCTTTAAGGAGCAGGGAAATCCATTCAATTCCAAATATAGGGCCTATAATGGCAATGGAATTGCTAGTAATAGCTAATGCAACGTGTAATTGAAAATGACAAAATATCACATTGTAGCGTCACGATACTACTGATATCTTTAAAAGAATTCATATAATTAGTGGTTTTTATAAAATATAATGGGTATTGCTCCAGTGTAACAGTATTTACTCCAAACCCAAGGCAAGGCGAGACTGTTCCAGAGGCCCACGGCCCTAACCAAGGCAGTCTAAAAATACCTTGTGGTTAATTACTCACCCTGGGTTCTGAGAGACAGACCCGGTATTTATAGACGTTGCATGTGTTCCCGGCCGAAGCCGCAGAGGTTTCCGTCAGATTTTGTCCAGGATCAGTGAGTTACGTTTCCCCTCGAGGTCACTCTGCTTTTCTTCAGCTGAGTAACGGATGGCTAACAAAATAAAGAGGTGTCGGGGGGGGGGGGGAGCAGGTCCTGTCAGCACCTGAAAGTAGCCTGCCTACTATGATAGGTGGGTGCCGATTGGGCATTTATTACCTTCCAACAGGTGGTCCATGATTGATGTAGGAACTTGTAGCTTTGTCTCCCCAAGCTACAGTCTGGACCATTTGTTGTCAATAAAGATTCCCCCATAATGCCATAAAACCCACAATACGCTCACCCCCCTCAACTCTGTCCTCAGGGTGACCTTTCAGAGCTTTGAGGCCAGTTAGACTGCTTAGCTGTTTCAGATTCTCAGTGCAGTCGTGCTATTAAGCCAAAAATCACTGCAGTAAAGGCGACTTATATCTGAACCAAGTAACATTTGATAGACAGAATAATGAGCAACCGTCAAAGGTCTGTCCTTGCCAAAGTTACAACTTTAAATAAGGGATTCAGTGGAATTTGGACATCAAATCTAGACATCTACAAAAGGATGCAGACGTTTGTTTTGAAAACCCCTTATGGTAAATCTGAAAACCTACAATCCACCAGACATAAAATTGTCTTGGTGTTAAACCAGCATAATCACCTACTGAAATACTTCCTGCAGAAGAAGAGGAGAACCTACACAAGGCGTACAAGGAACCACGAATGCAAAACAGCCAGAGGCTCTAAAGAAGAACAGACAAGACATAAAATTTGTTCATTAATTAATATATTTTCTGCATTATAGTTAACAGTTTGTCTCACCATTTATTTTTTCAGTAAGTATTGGGTTTTGTTATATTCAGACATGAGTAAAATTTCAAGACTGTCTTTTGCAATAAATATCATAAAATAATAAAGCTTCACATAATAAATATTCTTTACAACCAAAGGGGTTTTAACTGACTTTTTCTTTAAAAAATAGCCATTATTCATCTTTAGGTTTTATATATAACATTTACAAAAGGAAAAAAGCCACAGTTGTGGTGTCTGAACAGAACAAATGTGAAATATGAGTGAAAACAAACAAACAAAAAAAAATGTCCTGTACAAAATATCACTAAGGAACCACCAGGCGCAACTTTAAATGCGTCGCTAACCAGTGACTCCAGGACAGTCCGGTTGCCACGGTGATCTGGTAACAGCTACATATTGTCTAGAGATAGTCCTTCACAGATTTGGTAAGGGGCTTTCAGGCAAGCGAAGGTAGAACTGAACTAGGGGGGACCTTAACGTGTCAAAAGCGCCGACGACTGTCTGCGGATGACACGCAGCGCCAGTAAGGCAAACACTGGTTTGGAGCAAAGGTCCTGTCTCAAAAAGCGAAGAAGGATCCAAAAAAGTAAAGAGTGGTTTCTTGGCCAAAACGTAGGATTTAAATCGACAGGCACTAATATTTTGACACACTATAATAATAATTATAGTAATAATACAGCGATTATATAATTCCTTCCCGGATCAGGAGGCCTTCGCGGGACCCTTCGGTGACCAGTTCTCCAGCTTACAGTACACGGTGTTGGAGTGCTTGCAGCGGCAGCCGGGTCGCCTGGCCCGGTCGTAGCAGCCCTGGCAGGCCCTGACGCAGCCCTTGCCGGGGGGGTAACACAGCAGGCAGGGCAGGAGTCCGGAGAGGAGCCCCATGGAGAGGAAACGCGAGCAGCAGTGGGGGCGCGACAGGGAGCAGGGGCTGTCCGCGCAGGAGTCGCCCTGGTCGTCGTCGGAGCAGTGGTAGAAGAGGGCCCTGACCAGGCACATGCACGTGGCGTTCTCCACGGCGCTGTCCGCCGAGCAAAGGCACAAGCCGCGGCAGGCCAGGCAGGAGGGCAGGGTGCGGGGCGCCGTGCACTCGCCACATTTACACCGGCCACAGCGTTCGCAGATGAAGCGGTGCGCATCGTCGGCCTCGTCCGTCGCTCTCACCGCCGGCTTTAGCGACTCCACGCCGGGCCCCGGCTGGGTGAGCACTGGCGGCCGACCCCGTTCGGGCCGGCTGGGCGGCGAGCGTCCCAGGAGACCCCGCTCAGAGCAGCCGCTGCCCGAGCTCCCAGAACTGGTGGAGCGGCTAAGCGGCGGCGCCCGGCCCACATGCCGCGGGGGCACCGGGACCCCGCGCTCGCAGTTGTTGTTGACGCCGACGACCTCGTGCGTGCGTTCCGGCTTCCCTGTCCGGCACGGGGGCCGTCTGGCCACCGCGGGCCCTTCTGTGTACTCGTTTGATGAGCGAATGGCCTTGATCTGGTCCAGGGAGAGGACGGCGGGGCGCTGGACTTCCCGATCGCGGTCTAGCCGGGTCCTGCCCCCCCGCGGGGGCTGCTGGATTACGACCAGTACACCGCCAGGGCCGTGTTGACTTTGGACTTCCATCTGGGCCGATCACCACTTCCGACACTCACTGTGGACTTGGCATGCATCGGAAATCCTGCAAAGAGGCCGAAAGGAAGAGATAATCGGATCAAAATAAGGGGCTATGTCCATGAAACTGAATTTAAAAAAGATCTTAGCCACTATTCAGAAAATTTCAGACCTATAAAGAATTTCTCATGCTTTTTTCTATGTTCTATTCTTGTGTTTTAAGACAGATGAAGGGGGAAATATTACTTTTAAAGATAAAGGCAAAATCCTTGTTACACTCTTCAACCAACAGTGATTTTTCAACCCACTTTCTGCAGTGACATCTGAAACTCTTCCCATCTGCATTTACATTTGTATAGTTAGTTAACATTAAAATGCCTCACAGCAGCGAACGGGAGGACGCGGTCTACGCAGAACCGCACGGACTGACCCTTAAAAGCGTTTGACAGATGTGAGCTCAAACTTAAAAGCATGAAATAGCGAAATGAATGCGATGGGTACAGCACGCTGGCGTGCACGTGTGAGCTGCACTGCCTGGGTAGGCGCAGAGAAATGAGGACACTGCAACTTTAAGCGCTGGAGAAAAACAAGCTCGTCTCGGATAGTGTAGAACCACGTTTTCGAACTTCACCATTAATAATAATAATAATAATAATAATAATAATAATAATAATAATAACTAATAGCCCACTTACTACTTGGAAATACTAGAGTAATAAGACACCCGTGCGATAGTAATCAAGCTTGTCTGCTATTACCTTGATTAATGTATTTGTCCGTTTTGCACCCAGGACTGTCCCAGGCAGTAATACAGTCTATATTTGGTCTTGACAATGATGGGTAAAAGTCCTCCAGAAATCCAGCTAACGCGTCCTCTGCGCGGCTTCTTTATCCGCACAAGCCTTTCCGTGAGCCGGCAGTAAACTGCGATCGCAAGCGCGGCCGAGTGCCGGGGGAAGGAAGGACGGGCGCCCGGCTTAGGGAGCGGGGGAGTGACTGATAAACACGGCCGGAGACGCGCCGCTGGAGGACGGCGAAACTTATGAATGAAAACAAGCGCCGCGGGGGGAGGGGGGTTTGTTAGCCGCGGGAGGGCCGACTCGCCTCTTAAAGGACGACTTAAGTTATTTCGTCCGTCCGTCCATCCATCCATTTTCTGTAACCGCTTGTCCTATTCATTTGTGCGATGTTAAAAAAGAGCATTTAGACAAATGTAAATGTGGTGCCTCCTCGATATCGTCTCGATGGTCTTCAGCTCCAAATGCAAATCGCAATGCGCGTTTTATCAGAATTCAAGCGATTTATTGTGCACAAAAAATGCATATATAACATGAACATGAACGCATAAAGTTCCTTCATACCCGTTACCCAATTTCTTTTTTAAACTAGAACCAATTTTAATTTGAGGGTTTGGTGATATTTCAGCATCCTGTGTAATTATAATTATGCAGTGAAATTGTACACTTCACATCATATAGGTTGTCAGATTTATTTGATAGGTTAATATTAAGAATGAAAGCTCACCTATCTATATATGCAGCCATCCATGCCGAATCCATCAACCAATACACAAACAGACATCAATCCAAAAAGGCATTAAAGCTCGCACATTTCATACGAAAAGATTATTGTAAATTCCAAACCGAAGACTCGGGTCCTCCGGAGATTTGCTCTTCTACATATATGCGTAACATGATTCAGATATTGTAAATCCGCACATGGAGTGTGTGCATAGAAACAAGCGTCTTCAGGGCTCTGGGAGCGCAAGTCTGCAGACGAGCACTTAGTTTTAAAATTTTTAATTAAAAAACAAAAATCCGCATGGACATCAAAAGCAGAGACACAATTAAAATGCTGGTTCCAAGGAATCGGTGGTTCTGTCGCAAAGCCAATGATTAAATTAGTCTGTTGCGCGGATTTTCCCGTCACAAACTGTCACCGTCCGTGCACCGCAAGCGCTGCTCCCACTACGGAATGAATGGGAAGCTGGAGGTTTGTACTGGTGGCACTGGACGCCTCTCATTGGCCAGTGAGAGAGGATACACTGCATCCGCTCTTCATTCATTGGCTAGCTGCAGGAGGCTGGACAATTATCAAACGTGCGAAGGTTTCCTTTAAGGGGGCTCAGCTTTACAGCTCCCAGTGAAATGAAGCATTTTGGCGTTTCCTTTGGGTTTTTTTTTTTTTTTTTTGGGGGGGGGGGTCGGCCCACTGTCATTTCCCAGTCCAGAAAAAATTGTGATTTTAGGCCTGAAAATACAGACGCGTATCATTGTTAAAGCGCAGTCACGATTTTCTTATTTTTAGTAATATTTTATTTGTTTTTATTTCAATTATAAAACACCGCAGTTATGTTTCGGAACCCAAATCAGCCTCCAAAACTCAATGTCACGCGGACTACCGCCGTAATTGTTCGTGAATTACTGTTAAACTCGGTTTCAGCTGCGTGTGTTTATGACGGCCTGTGTAACCACCTTAAAACCTGCTAAGAGGAGGAAGAGGAGATAAGATACCCTTGTCTGTGCTTGATCTTCTTGATTGGTGTCGAGGATGCATTACATCCGGATGTGTGATAAAGGGAAGTTCAATACAAAGTCAGTCGTCCCTATTCAAATTGAATATCAATAGATATAATTGCCTTTAACTGCAGCTCTAAATCTGGTTTAAATGATTAAACATGTTGTTTGATGCCGTAACACGGCAGTTAATTTTGGGGTCCCGCAACACTGCATCGCAACGGCAATACAACTGCATTGATAAAGCAGAAAAAGTTCTGAAAATGCACCTAAGAGAGAAAATAAACAGAATAAATAGATAACTGTTTAATAAGTTACTGTGTTTCCTAAAACTAAGTTTAAATAACCCACGTACAGCACAACGCTTATGTAACATTTATAGTTCAAAGAGATTTGATAATAATATACTAACAACAATAAATTATTTCCTGAGATATTTACGTTTAGGCTATACAAGCTATTCACAGGTAAAAATACTAACAGCAAAGGCGCGCTGTGCCGATCACTAAGCGTGTCGGGTCGCCTTCGCTGTTAAGCTGTCATTTCGCACGTCGGGTGACAGTGTTAAGATATCAAGTAACAAATGTGGCCGCAGTGGATCAAGTCCTGCTTGTATTCAGGGGTGACGCGGCTGGCGACAACTATTCAACAATATTTGTTCTTTTTTTTCACTTCCCGTGCATTACACAATACATTTGGCATCGGAGCTCTAAGTAATTTAGGTCACAAAAATTAGTTTTGGATTATAAATAATAAATTACAGACAAGCGTTTTAACTGTTATCCATCAAGTCCTAGATTGAAGTCAAAAGTCAAATGTGTGGAAGTTGTTCTGGATTAATGGATAGTACAACAGGTGGTATAGACGATGCTGACCCAAAGCTAAAAGCAATCTTAGTTACCCAATTATTTTGCATGATAAGATGACATTTTTACCGTAGTCTATGTGTCTTCATGGTTAATCTGTCCAGACATTCAGCGAATGTTTTGATGGGAGCCAGAAGGATTTGGCAGCAGTAAACTGTGTTTTTTACGGTTAAAGACAACCATACATACGGATTAGGAGACAATACTCGGCTACACTTTCCTAGACGTATCGCAGTGAAAGCGAAACACCTATAATTAGTCACGACATAAAATGCTACAAATAAACAGAGACTAGCTGGCTTAATTTACACCCTTCTATGTCGAAACATTTACTGCTTTAAACATATTTACCGTGCACACAGAAAACAGGGAAAATTGTCAATGAAAAGCATAAAAGTGAGAACCCGTCCGCGATTATTTTCAGTCGTGCTTCGTGTCCAGATTTATGATGGCAAATTGAGGGATGAGATCATTATCAATCGAAAAAATCCTTTGTTCATAAATAAGATAGGCTATTAGATGTTTGATTATTGATTCAAAACGGAGATTGTTGACTTAGAGCTAAAGGTAAAGTGTGTAAAATCAGAAACGGGTAGGACAGCAAGTTCGTAATATCTGAGCAAGTTTCAGGATGCAGGGATATAGCCGTGCAAGTGTCTGGCAGGGACCCTAAATGGCTAAAGGTGGACGAGCCAGGAAAAGACGGAAACCCCAAACAAACGATTCGACGCGTCATTTTCTCTCTCATCGGTGATTTTACTTTTACGCCCCATGCCTTGACATGCTGATAAAATCTAGCAATTTTATTTCCTAACGCGACGACAGTACTGATGTAAATTATAAAATATTCCGAACTAAAAAATACTTTGAAACACTCAGAATCGATTAGTGAATACCCATTAACCTTGCAACTAAGATTAAGATTGCAAACTAATTATTTTGAAGCAATTTTCAAAGTAAACCCATATACGTCACATATCGATTTTCCTTAAAAATGATTTTTAATCGTCTGATCTAAAAAGTATTAGGTGGTTCTCAATAATATTTGAACGATAAAGATAAATCTCAAGTTTCACTTAAACACTAAAAAATATCTCAAATCTATACGAATTGGTCATTTCGACTAAATAGTCATAGAAGGAGGTGTATTCTGAACAATTATTCAGAAAACCGTTTGCATGCAACTTCACGCGTTAGGAGAGTAAAGTCCCCCATACTATAAGTTTAGGTAACGAAAATTTCATTGGCTACACCTGCAGTGTATTAGACCACTGTGCAAGTGAGCGTTTCATACGTGCAGAATTTAATGGGCTAATCACTTGTAGATCGCCAACCCTGGCGATACGACTTAGGTTGTAAAAGAAGCAGCAAGAGTAACATTAAGTTACTCATTTAAAACTAGATGTAACTCACCTTGCGATGGAGGACAAAACAGCGGGCCGCCGCTCCCACCCATCTCGTCACACCAGCCAATAGAAAGGTAGGAAAGTTTTGGCCCCGCCTCCAAACGGCCCCGTCACTCCATACCTGTTAACAACCCCCATTGTTCTGATAATTTACAGAAATTCTAGCATAAGAATTTAATTAGTCTGGTAAATCAAAGGGCGCGGGATCCCCTACTTGATCCGCAAAGTTTAGATATTTGTAATTTGGTACAAATTTGAATTTAATGACTAATGGAAATATGTGCTTTGTAGATGGAATGTACTCGAAAAAACTAAGTAAACATCTTACATCGGCACCAGCCAACATGTCGGACATCTCTGACGTATCAATCATTTATGCCTTGAGCATATTCCCATTACCCAGAGGATGCATGATATTCCCTCTGTTCACCCAAAGACATTATTTTATATACTAGAACAACTTGCCTTATATATGTTATCTAACAGATCTATGCATTAATTTCCAAAAAGTGAAATGAACTATAAGACCACAGCTACGATTTAAACCGATATTTTAGGGATCTTGGAGTAAAAGGAAAAATAAATACAGGCTTCCGTTTTCCTACTTAATTAATGCATGGAATCAAGCACATATTGTACGTTCATGTACTTTTACATGGAATTAAGAGGCTGAGACAAGTGAGCGAGGTTAAAAAAGAAAGCAGACAAAGCCCATATTTGCTCTGGCGTGTTTGCTTTGATTCTCACATCCCAGCACCTGCAGCTGGTCTGGTCACATGCTTACCCAGGTATGGTAATAACCCACTATCATCTCTGGCAAACCTCTGTATTCCTCCAGCTCGCAATACCTTTGGCAAGAGTCCATCCCCTGGCTTCCTGTAGCTGATGCTGAGATTGGGTGGTTAGAAGAGGTGAAGTCCTCGGGGTGGTGGTGGGGGGGGTGCAGTGTAATGATATTCAGAAGTGGTTTACGCCCCAGTGAAGCACCAGTGTTAATCAAACGGCTGTTCTCGGGGCGTCAGCGAGTGTGACATTTTCTCTGATCAGTGCGCAGAATGAAACACGTCGCAGCTGAACAAAGCCGGCTGTCACGGCGAGCAGGTGCTGGCCAGATGTCAGGAAATAACTTTCCCCTTGTGCTGGCGGTCAAGAAGGCGGTGGCAGCGGCGGCGGGAGAGGCGACTCGCTCCACAAACAGCGACGGTGGCTGGTTCTCCTCGGAAAGCTTCCCAGCAGTCACTGCACTCGCTGCCTTTAAGCAGAGGTATGAAACAATGAAGGAATGCATAAAAGGGGACACTTCCACTGACAATTACAGGGTGAGGGAGGTGAGGGTGTGTGCGTGCGCGCGCTTGTGGGTGTGTATTCACGGGGGGGGGGGTCAGTGCTGACTGATTGACTGCTTAAGCAACAGATGTATTTGTTAGGTTTCAACAGACACTGGCATTCTAGGTAGGGCTGCCATAAATGGAAAAGGCAGATTTCCTCTTACAATCTGTTCCTAGGCACTTGCACCCCTCATTTTACATTCAGTTCAAGCGCAAAAGATTATTTGGACAGATCAATTCTAGGGGCAAATTCCAGAGGCAAATTCCCTGGAAATATCCTACACTTAAGCTACTTGTGTTTTCTCTGATAGAAATTCTCAACCAAATGAAAATAGCTATCATTCCAAATTTGTTCTTCTTGGGTGTGGAGAGCTGGAAGATTCATATATG